TAATCCCCATTTTACAGTTGGGAAGCTGAGGCCCGTAGAAGATAGAGCCTCTTAGGGCAGAACTAAGATTGGAGCTTCTGAACCACAAAGACTCTCAAGCAGCTCTGCAGGCTGTTTTTTTCCTCAGGCAGAGCCGGCAGTGCCTCCCTGTTCCCGGATGGTCACCCCACCCCCCCACTTGCTGGCTTCTCTGGGTTAGAGGGGCAGGAAGACCAACCAGCGTCCTGAGGTGCCCCCCCAGGACCCATATTGCCAACAGCAGCCCTCATTCGCAGCCTGGCCTCTGTGATTCAGCTGATGCTGCTTTGGAGGAATGGAGTTGGCTGTGGAGCGGAAACCTCACATGTTGTTTTAGGCGCCCACTTTTTCATGTCATGGCAGCATGCTTAGGTCGTTTGCGCCCAAATGCGTCCTACCTGGCGCCTGAGCTCGGTGGGCGCACAATGGCCCACAGAGATGCGTGACACGCGTGTAGCAGGAAGGAGCTGCCGAGATGCTTCCGTGAACTGTTCTGTCAAGGGGTGGGAGCACAGTTGATGATTAACTGGGCCTCGGGAACACGCAGATCAGACTTGTGAGCGCTCACTCAGCCTCTAATTACTAGTAGCCTTTTGGGAAGGAAGATCAAACAGGTTCTTTTGTTTAACTTTTTTTTTTTTTAATGTGGGGACCAGAAGGAACACGCAGACTTTGTCTTGAAACTTTGTTCTCGGAACAGATTATGTGATCAAAAGAGAAGAATAATTGAATGTGTGTGACATCAGCTCACTGCTTAACACTTCTACATTTTTCTTACAGGGGAAAAATTAGGCGTGATCCTAGCTCTGTGGTGACAAACACAATGGGAGACGTTCATCTCCAGGGCAGCTGCACACGCAGCAACTCCCAGTTAACTCAACCCCCACTGCCCCCCCCACTCTCCCCCCACCACACACACACACACACCCCTTGTCCACCTGGTCAGGGGCCGCCATTCAGGGGCGAAGGCAGGAAGAACGTTATCTGGCCCTCAGCACCTTTATCTTGCAGGGGATCCCAAGTGAGAATGAGCTGGAGCGTTTCTGGAGATTGAAATACAATTAGGACAAGAGCAGCATTTGTCACAATCACTTATCAAAACAGTCTGCACCTGTTTAATCGCTGCACCTGAAATCACAGAACGCGCAGTAGGTGCTTCGTGTTGGATAAACACATGAGTGACTTTTATGCTGTAACAGAAATCATTTCAGGATTCACCATCTCCCTAGATTTCTGAGCTCACGAAGCCCCGTGACTTCTGCCCTAAGTAGTCCTTACTGTCTGGCCAGCTCTGTGCCCCCCTGCTGTGTCTTCCAGGGAGGTTTGTCATTCCCCCAGAAGTGGTGCCACCCCCGTTTTGATTCCGGTGAGGCACGCAGCAGCACTGATGTAGGAAGATTTGGGTGCCTGGAGAAGTGGGAGGCTCCACGTCCCAGCAGGAGGCGCTGCGGGTGTCGGTGGGAGAGGGGCCCTTAGGTGGGAGGTGAACACAGACGATGGGGAGGCTGCAGTGAGATCTTATCCTGAAGAATTTCCCGGCCGTTGACTTTGCTGGTTGTGACTTGTCCTGAGAGTGGCAGCGTGCAACATTTGCTTTTCCACTATAACCGCTCAGGACAAACTGAGGGTCTGACTGCAGCTGTGACCTCGATGTCTGGTTTTCCTAGGGCTGACCAGCCTGCTTGGTGAACCTCAGGGAAAGGACCTCTGTCAAGGTCACGGGTGAGGACGAGGCCACAGGACCCTGAAGGTTTCTGTCTGCGGGTCTCTCGGCCTGTTATCCATGAGGCTAATCTGTGCCCCAAGCCTTTGCTACTGATTGATGGACTTCTTTTCAAGTGAGGGAGTGATGCTTACCCACCCGCAGGGCACAGGCGATAGCCATAGAACTCATGCGTGAAGTGTTTCCTTTGCACAGTCTCAGCTTTCCAGGAAAGAAAGGAGGTGCCTTCAATGGCCCCTCTGTCTCCTGAACGCCGGGGTGTTTTTCACTCTTGCCCCCCGACTCTGCCACACAGGTTGTGAAGGCAGGACTGCTGAACTGCAGACGGGAGCAAAAGGCAAAGCAAATGGAAGCAGCTCATCCTGTAAAAGTGAGCCTCTCAGAGACAGGATGAGCCCGATGAGGGTTGTTAATGGCAGTCCCTGCATAGACGTTGTGAGACTTTTTGTGGTTTGTAGTCATAATAAATCTTTGGGGTCCCCGGGCAGCTTGTGAAAATGCAGGTTCCTAGGCGTGCCCTAGCGTCTCCGTCGATGGGCGTGACTGGAGCCTGGGAGTCTGCATTTTTACCCGGGTGCTCCTCCCCCCTGGGGAGCCGTGGGTGGGCTCCCCTCCCCCCACCAGGCCCCTGCCCAGGCTCGGGGATTCTGACACAGTCCACCGCCGGGCACTGAGTCTGGGTGCCTGTGGAGCGCAGCAAAATGGGTGGCCCCAAGCTTGCTTCCAGCTCTGGAAGGAATCAGTGTGTCTGCTACAGTCAGCGTCACTCAGCACGGACGTTTGTGTGACAGGGTTGTCTCTGCAGACCGCGTGGGTATACATGCTGTGTGGCTGTCTCTGCAGGGGTCTTGCTCCGTCCTGGTCACAGAAGGGGCTTTTCATGCAGCACAGACTCCAAGAAGGAGTTAATGAGAAGCAGAGACATAAACCCCAAGTGAGGGACAGGAGGGGTTAACGAGGACGGTGGCGTTAAACCCTGAAGTCCACAGGTGTCCCGAGGATGCAGGAAGTCCTCTGTGAGGACTCAGAGCTGTGCATGGTGGCCCCTTGACGTTAACCAGAACCCACCAACTGAAGGCCCGGTTGGCAGATACCTGTCACCGAGCAGTGGGTTCCAGCACAAAAACAGGGCGACTCTTGTTTTGGAAGGGGGATTGGAGAGGGAAGGAGGGAGGAAGCCCAGGGGGCCCTGAGACCTCTTCCTTTAGGAGGAAGAGGTCCCTTTTCAAACACGGAAGTGTAGCCTGTCTCAGGAATGTCACTTTGCGTTGGGACCATGGTCTTCTTTTATGAGGGGGAAAAAAATCACTTGTGGTAAAAGTACGCGCCAAGCCCTTTGTGTGGGTCAGTGTTTTCACACGATGGTGACTGGCCGGAAGCCGATCTCTGCACGCTCCGCTGGCACTCCGGTAGAGCGTTCACCTGGGGACGGGTTTCCCTGTGTAATGGTGTTGAAGGTGAGAAGCCAGGACGTGAGGCCAGGAAGGCTGGTTCTGGGAGCACGGCTTTCAGTCAGGGCTGGTGTGTGCCACGCTATGTGTCCCATCACAGGATGGCCGCGAGGCTGCTGCTGTCACACTGGGAGGGTGTCCCGAGGCCCAGGGGTGGGTCCTGAGGAACGTGCAGCGAGGTGGTGGTCTGCCGCTCACCACGCTGAGTGTGGGCCCTGGGGCGGTGTCAGGGTACACGGTGCCCACCCCATTCTCTCAGAAGCATCGGAACTCATTGCCACCTGTTTCCACGCTGGATGAGTTCTCACGCTATTGAAATTATGGAAGTAATGTTCCTGGGACCATAAGCTGGGGCTCGGGAATTCCTCATTTCCCATACAGCAATTTAAATGCAATTAATCATTTTCTTAAACAGGACGGACCACATAATGACTTTTGTTAATTATTTCCCTTAAACTTAATTGTTAATCAGAACAAGGAATTTGTGCAGTGGACCTTGGAAACAGGGTGAAGTTTTATCGTTGCAGGAAGGAAATCATCATTTATCAATCACTCGGTGCTAGTTTGACATGTGTACATGTGTGTGTGAGTATACATCATGAGCACTAAGCACAGCATGTATTATATGTACATGTTATAATATATACATGTATCATGTATATTACATAGTATATACACACGTATCATGTATATTATACACACAGGTATTATATGTATATTATATAGTATATACACATGTATATTGTATAATATATAGCTATTATGTTTACTATATGCTATATATACACATAACTTATATGTACATTACATAGTATATGCACACATATCACGTATATTACATAGTATATACATGCATATGCATATTGCATAGCATACACACGTGTATCGTGTATACCACATAGTACATACACATGTGTGTCGTGTGTATATTACATCGTATGTACACACAATTATGTGTGTGGTTAATACCCATAATCCCCATTTTACAGTTGGGAAGCTGAGGCCCGTAGAAGATAGAGCCTCTTAGGGCAGAACTAAGATTGGAGCTTCTGAACCACAAAGACTCTCAAGCAGCTCTGCAGGCTGTTTTTTTCCTCAGGCAGAGCCGGCAGTGCCTCCCTGTTCCCGGATGGTCTACAAAACCTGCACAGTCCAATATGGGGGGCTGCAGGTATACAGAAGGGGAGCTTTTTTTCTCTCCTGGGAATTGTCCCGTCCCCTGAAAAGTCCAAGGCCAGCTTCCCCTGCCCTGTGCCGTGGACCAGGGAGAGAACATGGCAGCACAGCCCCAAACGCAGGCCCATGATGCACCAGCACAGGGAGGCACGCGCTCACACAGAACTGCAGAAAGCCAGCGGTTGGAAGTATCCTGTGTGGTACCTTCCGAAGAGGTGTTTTTGTGCTGTTTTGAGCCTGACTTCACCCCCATAGCGTATTACTCCACATCCCTATTAAAGACAGCTAACTGAAAATTTCTGATAACAGTAGACAGTTGGGGAAAAGTTAGAACCTGTTGGAGGCAGGAGGGGCCGGTGGACTTGCCCTCCTGCGAACAGGGCCGAGCTGGGGTTGCTTCCCAGGCAGGTCAGGCGGCTGCAGGAGCCTGAGTTGTACGCGTGAGCGGCCGCTCATGCCCTCCGGGTTCTGTACTGGAAACAGCTTGCTCATCTGTCGCTCCCTAGAACCGGCTAAGGCGCCAGGACGTCGGCCTGAAAACCCACCTGGACCAGCTGGACCAACAGATCAGTGAGCTGCAGCTGGACGTACGAAGAACCTCCATTGAAGCCCCGGACAGTGACAGCCGGCCCAGCTCAGGTGCATGCACGCGTGCGCACACACGTGCACACACACGTGCACACACACATACACACATACTCCACACACACACACCACACACACATATGCACACCCCACACACATATACTCCATACACACCCCACACGCACGCACACACGCCCGACACACACCCCACACGTGCGTGCACACACACACACACACCACACACGCACACTCACAAACACGCATACTCCACACGCACACACCTTACACACACACACACCACACACACATACTCCACACACACCCCACACGCGCACGCACACACGCACACCCGACACACACCCCATACGCGCACACGCACACACACACACCCCACATGCACACCACACACACACACACACATACCACACATGCACACACACACATACACACGCACGCACACTCACAAACACACATACTCCACACGCACACACCTTACACCCACACACACATATGCACACCCCACACACATATACTCCGCACACACCCCACATGCGCATGCACACACGCCTGACACACCCCACACACGCGTGCACACACGCCTGACACACACCCCACACACGCGCGCGCGCACACACACACACCCCGCACACACACGCCCGACACACACCCCACACACGCGCGCGCGCACGCGGACACACACACATGCACACCGCACGCACACACGCGCGCACCCCACAAACGCACATGCATACACCACACACACGTGCGTGCGCACACCCCACACTCACCCTGCACTGACTGCCTCCTTCTGCCCCGTCCAGGCTTCTACGAGCTGAGCGACGGGGGCTCCTGCTCCTTGTCTGCCTCGTGCACGTCCGTGTGCAGTGACCGCCTGTCCTCCTCCCTGGGCACTTTGCTGCCCACCACCCTCACGGCCCGGACCAGCGCAGGGGACTGCCGGCCCTGGTCCGCCGACGAGACCACCATGTGTGGCGCCCCTGTGCCCACGTGGGTGCCCCAGGCCACTGAAGAGGCTGCAGTCCGGCTGCTGCAGGACACGTCGCGGCCCAGGCCGGTGTCTACAGGTAAAGAGGAGCCAGGAAGGTTGGGAGGGCTCGTCCCAGGCAGCAGGGATGGTGGTGGGGTGCGTACCCCTCAAGTCCCATCTGTGGTCATTATGGCAGGGCTGTTGTAATAAGCATTTTTCCTATTATTTGAAATGAATATTGGACAGTTTTTTTAAAAAGCAACCTTCCAAAGCCCTCACACAGCCTGAGTGGCGTCCGTCCGAGTGGCGTGGGACAGTGCTGACCGTGAGCCCAGGAGCTCAGCTCACACGCGGCTCCGCTGCGGGCCGGGGATGGCCTTTACTTTCCTTCAGGCTGTCCCTAACGGAAGGACGCCACCTTTGGACGCATTTCATTTACAATACAAGACCTGGCTTAGTGATACCGTGTGGTCTGTCCTTGGTGAGCACCCTGAGGTGTCCCCTTGTTCTCAGGGAAGGTCTGTCCCCAGCCTCTGTCCAGAGCCCGCCCTGTGGTCTCAGGGACCTGTCTTTCCAGGTATCCTCAGAATATTCCGTGAATGCAGCCTCTCACTGACACATTTTGTGTCTGGGATTTATTTCTAAGCTGCCCCTGAAAGGGGGGCCGTTGGAACCGGTGATGGACTCCGCGTGCGCTTGAGGCCTCCGCGGGCGTTTTCTGTCCAGGCGTCGACGCAAGCAGCCGCCGCGCGTGGCTTTCTGGGCGCAGGAGCACTTGGCTGTCGTTATGCTGCGGTGACGTGGGATCGGAGTGTGTGGGAGTCTTCCCTCATTCGTGTGTTTGTTCATCTCTCGTTCCCAGGTGACCTTGAACGAGTCCTCCCCGCGGAGGTGGGACTCCAGAAGGCCAGTGCAGACCCCAAGCCCACTTCCTTTCTCTGCCACAGGATGGACCTCCCGCCCCACATGCTGGACCCCAAGTACCAGCGTGACCTGGTGTCCAGGGGTGGCAGGGAGGTGTACCCGTACCCCAGCCCCCTGCATGCAGTGGCTTTGCAGAGCCCCCTCTTCGCTCTGACCAAGGAGACCCCCCAGAGTGACGGCCCCTCGCCCCCTGGCGAGCCCCTTCCCAGCCCCTCAGGTCCGAGCTCAGTCCGGACTGGACCCGTCCCGGAGGCTGGCCCAGCGGCAGCCTATATAGACAGGCTGTTACAACTGCGGGGCCAAGGGAACCCCACGAGGGGCAATGTGGGTGAGCAGGGACCCCCAAGATGTGAGGTGTCCCCATCCCGGAGAGCAGAGAGTGAAGGCCACCCAGAGAAGCTAATGTACACCCCAGGAAGAGCAGACGTGGGAGGGATGGCTCGGAGGAGGGACGCCAGTGGGGGTGGCCTCGAGCATCAGGGACCTGTGCCCCCGGTTGGCACCCTGTACCCCAGCCGCCTTCCAGAGGAGGGACACAGTCCCTCCAGTAGCTGTGTCTGTGTGGGGCCTACCCCGGGCTCCCCTCAGCTGGCGCGTGAGCCTCCGTCTCCTAGCTCCCAGGCTCAGCAGCCAGCTCCTGACTGCTGGGAGGGCAGAGCCAGGTCACCCCCCCGGATGGCAGTCAGGGGGAGCCCTGCCCTTGCCCCAGGGCGGTGTGTGAGCCCCCCCTGTGCTGCCAGCAGAGCTTCCCCCACGGGGCTGAAAACAGGCCGCCCCACGACAAAAGCTCTGAAGATCGGGAGGGGGACCGGTGACAAGGCACTCAGGGTGGTGAGGCAGCCGCCACCCTGGGGTGCCCTTGTAGGCCCCCAGCTGCCCGCTGAGTGGGGGGCTGGGCTCCGGAGAAGGCCCACTCTGGCCGGGGAGGCGCCTGGCCGGTCTTGCTCTGAGTCCAGCCTCTACCCTGTGTCCTTCCTCGTCCCCCTGCTGGTGGCCCACCAACAGGGTCACCGGGCTTCAGCTCAGGCCCTGTTCCCCTTGGAAGCGGCGCCCCCCATGGCGGCCGGCGGGGAGGCCCGGAAGAAACAGCGCAGGTGGCAGTCCTCCGTGGAGATCTCAGCGCGGGCCCGCCCGGCCGGTGCCCAGGGCCCTAGCCTGGGGCCCCCACGGCCAGCAGCAAGGAGGGGGGGTGGCCCGCGGCCTGTGTGCCCCCAGGCCAGGCCCAGGCTGCCCCGCCAGGATGCCCAGGCCAGGAGCGAGTCCGGGGGCTCAGAGCACTCGGCTGAGTGCGCCTCCCTATTCCACTCCACCATCGCGGAGACCAGCGAGGATGAGGACCAGGCCAGTGACCACACCGCCAACCGCTTCGGGGACGGGGAGTCCAGCGGCAGTGACGTGGAGGGCGGGGTCCGGGGCAGTGGGGGCCGCCCAGGCCGGCCTCAGGCGGCCCCCCAGCCACCCCCACGGGCCACAGCTGGCTCCAGGCCGCCCCTGCCCCCGGTGCCCAAACTCTGCCGCGTCAAGGCCTCCAAGGCCCTGAGAAGGAAGATTCGCAGGTTCCAGCCAGCCGCCCTGAAGGTCATGACCATGGTGTGAGCCAGCCAGGGCCCTGGCCCCGGCGAACGGGCCGGTGTCCCACGAGCAGCCGTCTGAGGACCCAGGGATGATGTGTGGGACGGGCACAGAGGGGCCTTCCCAGGGCTAAGGATGGAATCGAACTCTAATGACCTGTTTAACGTGCGGACATGGGTCTGCGGTCATGCTGCCAGCTTGCTTGTCAGAGGAGGCGATGGAGCAGGTGCCCTGGGCTGGGTCCCACTGTGACTGTGACGCGGGCACATCTCCCTGCCCCATGGCGACCTCTGCAGTGTCAGACCTCACGAGCTGACCCGGCCAGCTGACTGCGTCTTTGTCAGCATCTCCCCAGGACAGACTTCTCACCTGGTTTCCCAGGTTTCTGGGTTGTCGCCTGGTGGTTGCTCACCTGTGTCGTAGTCTTACTCCTCTGGGTGGTGTGTTTCCAGTCCTTGTAAACCATCTCTCCCCAAAAGCATTCTTTTTAGGAGACGGCGGCAGAACTGTGCTCTGGAAATGGGTGGGAACGCGAACCTTATGTTACGTCCTCATGTGAATAAACACACAGATTGTACCGTATCTTCGCAGATCGCGTGAACGCGTTTCCCTTTTACCGTGCCTCCTGGCGGTTCCCTCCGGGGCGTATAGTAGGCATTCAGCAAACTCCTGTTCCTCCCGTCATGTGGCGACTCGCACCCCAGGTGGGAAAATGCAGCTCATGTGAGCTGGTTTCAGTACGCTTCAGCTGAGCATGGAAGTGTTTTGAAAAAAATAACTGGTTTACTTGTCAAAGCAAAAGTCGCCATTTCAGGGAGCAGAAGGGACCTCAGAGCAGCTGTCAGCTGAGCACTGTGGAGCAGCTTCACCCTACATAACCCAGAGCATCTCCCAAGTAGGGCTGGAGCCCCAACAGGAGGGGTGGGGCGTTCCCCCTGGGCCCTCATGGGGGTCTGGAAAACAGAAAACCGGCCAAGACACTAGTAGACTTCCTTATATTAGGTGTTAGTCAATATTCACGTACCAACTAGTTTCCAGAATCAGTTTAAGGAGACGAACATTTTAAAAAGTGGTTAATGTTTTAGAACAAAGAAGTGACCTGTGCAGGGTGGGAGACTAAGGTTTCTGAAAGTTTTCAGTTTGGGGAGGGGCAGTGGGCGGGCAGGGACCTGCTGTCTGTGAAACCTCCAAAATGTAACCATTTCAAAGGGCCCAGAGCCAGCAAATCCAAGCGGGCTACTGAGTCTGTGAAGAATCCCTGCTGCTTCACGGAACCTGCTTACGAGCAGAGGTGAAAGGGTCTTCCGAAGCTCTCGTAAAACCTGTGTTGCCGTTTAGAAAAAGAATTCAAAGCCACCCATGATGGAGTTTTATTGTAAAAGACATGACATGGGATATTTTGTAAGAATGGTCCAATTCTCAACTGTGTGGTCAGAAGTGATGGGAACACTGGACCTGCCAGGACCACTGAGCTGGTGAGGCTTCTGAGCCAGGACTCCGCCATTCTGCCCCCACCCGGGTCCAGGCGGCTTGTGCAGCCTGCGTCCCTCCCTGGCCACTGGGGAAAGGGCCTCCAAATTCCACTTACCATTTAGTCCTGCATTCTGGGCGCTTTACACAGCTAAGGGGCTGGGATTGCAGTATTGGTGAGTGCAAACTTTCCTTGCATCCTTCGTGATGGCAGACCATGCCCTTGTGTCACAGGATAGGAACCTCAGGCTGTGTATGTGTTGCTTGCCAAGACCCAGTGGGATCAGCGCTGAAGGGGATGCAATGGGCCTGGGCCTCCCAGGGGGTTCTGACTGTTTATCTTTCTCAGAAACCAGGTTCCAAAGTGCAGCCAGACAGGAATGCAGCCCCCACCCCAGGATCCCAGCCCGTCTGTGCAACTAGCAAACCAAGCAAACTAACCAGCAAAACGCTGGATACGCCAAACAAAGTGCGGCTGTGGCATCAGGGACAGAAAGTGTCCTCAGTGATCTGACACCCAAATCAGTCATTGATCTCTCTCTCCCTCTCTCTCTCCCCCTCTCTCCCCCTCTCTCTCTCTCTCTCCCTCTCTCCCTCTCTCCCTCTCTCTCTCCCTCTCTCTCTCTCACCCCATCTCTCCCCCCACCCACCCCTTCTCAGCTATGGAGGCCCAGACACACACTTGAACTTGCCCAAGGCCCCAGGCCACTTCCTTGCCAGTGCCCTTGCCTCTCGCGCTTACTCTCTGGCAGGTCTGGGTGGAGAAGTATAATCATAGACACCAGGCCGTCCCATCTGCCTACGGCCGATGCCTTTGTGCCCCTGGTAGTTCAGCAGGAGGACACAGCCCAGGGTCCCCGCTTGCTGAGCTATTAGCAATGACGTGGCCTCAGGCTGGGGTCTTCATAACCCCCGTGGGTTTACTTCCTCTTTATAAAACCTCAGGATTTGGCATAAGGAGTAAATGGACTGAGTTGAAAACGGGTCCCCAGTCCGTCTGCTCCCCACGTCTGTTTCCTGTCCCTGAGCAACGTGAGGAAGGGCTGAGGGAGGGAGCCGCCAAGCTCAGACACCACGGGCCACAGAGCTGAGTGATTGGGACAGGCCATCTGGTCAAGGTCACAGAGGAGGCTGTGGGCAGAAAAGGAGCCCACCAGGCACCCTCAGGCCCCGGCTGGCTCTGCAGGTCCCGGACTAGGCCTGACCTCCTGTCGGGTAAGGAGCCAACATGGGCCTCTGGCCACCCAGTCACCGCCAGAAAGGGGTAGGGATCTGCGGTGCGCAGGCACCAGGAGAGGCAGCTCTTTGGGGGAAATACTTTAAATACAGAGTTAAAATCCAGAATGTCAGTGATGAGAAGCCAATTTGAGTCAGCCTGCAAATCTAGTGCTAAATTTCAAAGCAGACTATGAACGCTGTAAATTCGGAGAAGGATATGCAAGGAAGGCAGGTGGTCCAGGCGGTGTGAACCTGAAAAAGAGCTTTAGGCCGGAATAAGGGACGACGAGCAGTCACTTGAGCGGGAGATTGCAATCCGGGAGCCACAGATTCAGGGAGCAGCCTCAAGTGTGGTTTCCCATTTAGGTCCTCCTTGCAAATGAAAGATTCTGTCTCTTTCAACAGGGATCAGTTAGATCCAGCATGCAAACAAAGGAGACAAAAGTGTAAGTGCTGTTCTCAATTAGGTCTTCTACTCTTATTTAAATGGAGGACACTGGCTGGTGAAAGGACTGGCTCCTTTCCTGAAGGATAGGATGCTCTGGTTGCTATGGTGAGAAGGGAGTAAAGTTCGGGATGTGGCTTTGTGGTTGACTTAAAAGTTCAAGAGTTCATGAGTGGGGTGTGCATAAGATTCCATTTTAGTTCCCTTGACACAAATGACTCTATCTTGGCAATTTTCATTCACAGCACAATGTGCAGAAACATGGATTAATTGTAACATTCCACATTATAGCATTTACTTGCCTGAGTATTTTATATTTTTAGTAAATTGTTCCTCTGAACAGATAGGATCGTAAGCACTCAGAGCGAAGGGGAAATAAAGCAGGAAGCTTGCCTGCTTTATGGGGCAGAACGTGGCCTACAACTCGAGGGGCATCACTACAGGATAGGCTTGGGGGCGGGGGATTCTTCAAGTGCATTTGAAGACACATGAGCTATTTCCCCATCCCTAAATTTATACTTTATAATTTAGGACAATTTATAATTTGACTTTTTGGATCTTTAGAAATCATCTGTAACTTCCAACATGCTTGAACTACAAGTATTTTAGCAAAATATAAAAATAAAGGGTAAACTAGTTTTTTCCAAGTATCCAAGTCTAGCTAATGCAGAAATTAAATACATGAGTATTTCTAAATTAATTATTAGAAAAAAGTTTATAACGACAGAGAAAATGCCCCAATGTATTTTAACAAATCACACAGTATCATTTAAGAAAACGAAATATTTATCTTTCTGAATGTTCATGTCCCCCCAAATCCATATGTTGAGGGCGCCCCCCCGCCCGCCTGTCGGTGCGATGGTGTTTGCAGGTGGGGGCTTGATGAGGGAGGTGCCCTGGACATGAGGGGGGTGCCCTGGACAATGGGATTAAAGAAGAGGTCCTATGACGGCACAGCGAGGAGGTGGCCACCGCCGAGCCAGGAGAGGGGCCTCAGAATGAAGCCAACCCTGTCGCTACTGTGATGTCGTCTGTCCTCCAAAACTGTGAGAAACAAACGCCTATCGTTTAAGCTCTGGCCTGTGGTATTTGTACACACAAAGCCGAAAGTGGGGAGCGTTGAGAAAGAGGTGGGTGAACTCAGAACTAGCGCTCAGGACTGTAGGGAAAAGCAGCTTTGTCCACTGTGAGTAGTGTTTGGTGAGGGGAGCATTTTGGGTTTCTCCAGCGGGTCCTGTGTTGGCAGTAGGACAGAAACGAGGGCTGCCCTCAGGTACTGATCAGGCCCTGGCTGACTGGGCCCATTGTCAGACAAGGTACAGCACTTCTGGGGTTGTCACTGGAGAGAGTAGACCGACACCCACCGTCCAGAGCCCAGGTCCACGCTACCGGTGACACCCACCATCCAGAGCCCAGGTCCACGCCGACAGTGACACCCACCATCCAGAGCCCAGGTCCACACCAACGGTGACACCCACCGTCCAGAGCCCAGGTCCACGCCAATGGTGACACCCACCATCCAGAGCCCAGGTCCACGCCAACGGTGACACCCACCATGAAGAGGAGAGGCTGGGTCTTGGGCTTTGGATATGCAGAAGCCTGTACAGTGGCGTTTACGTGGAGCCCAGAAGCATCTGTTCGCCGGTGCGCCGGGAAGGACCGATTTCCCCTGATCCCTCTGTGAGGAGAAATCCACAGGCTGTCTGCTGAACGAAGTCGTTTTTAATCCCATAGTGATGCTTAGCCTGTTCAGTACCAAGTACTCAGGCTGGTCCTCCACTGCCAGGCGGGGACTTCCGCCCTTGCTTGAATAGTCCAGAACCCACTTGGTCATTAGGAAATGGACACTCAGCAGGCTTTTGAGCCCCCCTGCCCCCCATGCCCTCCCTGTGCATTTGGCCTGGAAAACACCTTTAACAGCAGCTCCCTGAGGTCTGTCTGGAATACAGCGCCCCAGCCTGCTGAGTCCTGCTCTGAAAAATGTCTTGTCCCCATCGTTAAGTAGCATCCGGATGGTCCTAATGGTCCTGGAAGAGATACTGCATTTAAGCCTCCTTCACAATACCCGACATTCCTTATTGTGTTCAGACTACTTCACTGGGTCTCCACTCTCCATCCTGGAGGTGGATTGGCACTGTAGGGATCTCCTCCAATGACAGGTTTCTGTTGGATATGGAAACAAGCTATTGTAAAGTCATCAAAATACAGTTTCAGATATTGATGATGATGGACTCCTGGCAAAGATAATCCCTTGTGGTGCCTGCCATGATGCGTTTGTTGGGTGACAGATTGTGGACTCGGTTCACCAAGGGTGCACTGCAAATGCATTTGTGTTCAGGACGACCAGCCAACCTGACTTCTCCACTCTATAAATCGACACTTGCTTTATCTAGCTCTGCAATGACCCAGTGATTGATGGGAGAGGCATTTCACCTCACGTGAAGTGAGTTGCAAAATTCATGTGATGAGAATAATAGTTCCTGGAGTAGAATTTCATTTACATTTTATTTATATTTATTTGCTGCCAAATATCTTTTTAATTTGCTGAAGT